TTCTATATAACACATAGCGTACATATATCACAATGCACATAATCTCAAACACACACATAACACATAAGACCCTCCGATTTGCATATAGATACCACTCTGGGTAATGTATAGTGAGAAGACTCACCTCGTATGATGTCTAGTAAACTCTCGTGCTCGATATCCCTGACCTAGCCTCTGCCTATTAAAATGATAATATCTCTAATCAATACTCTCCTCATGTTCTCATCTCTAAAGAATGGGTAGAAGACCATTCTACCCTACCATGGCCTCTCATGAATCAGTTTGACCAAACCCCCAAGATTAAAATATGTCAACTCCAGTCAACGGAAAAACTTTGACTAAACTCGTCGAGTACACTTGGGTGACTCGGCGAGTCCATGTGTGTCCTCTGAATCCTCCTAAGGCCTCACTCGACTCATCGAGTTAACCTTTCACTCGACGGGTTACCACTGATCACGAATCGTGGGGCAACCCGATGCGACTCGTCGAGTCCTCTTATGGACTCGACGAGTTTCCTCCATGGCAACACTCATTTGAGCTTTTGAGGTCAGATCTGTTTCTCTAACTTATAGATATGGCCTTCTAGCACCCAAAAGTCACGTAAAGGTTCAATCTTTATGTCCATGCACCACACATCAAGCTCTATTTGAAGAAATAGCCCTTAAAATGACAACCTAGACTCAAAAATCCAATGAGACTGCATAAAGCTAGATGATTGGGACTCCCTGGACCTATCAAGGTCCAGATCTAATGTCATATGCCACAATGGGACTCCCCATGCTCCATAATCTCAACAAAAGGGGTAAAGAAACCCTAGATTCATGAGATCTACTATATACACGAAAATAGGCATGGATTCTTACCTCAAACAGAAGCCTTTGATGAAATATAAGAAGTTCTGAGCCCCTCTAAGTAGCCTAGCTTGAATCTCCCTTCCTTCCTTGCAAGAATGCACTATGGTGGTGTAATTAGCTCCTTCCCTCACTCTCTATGATCTCTGGTTTATTAGGGTCTCTCAAGTGTGTGTGTGGCCTCCAATGAAGGCCATAAGGTTCCTTAAATAGGGCACATGCCCAAAGATTTAGGGTTTCTGTCCACATCGTGGGCTAGTCGACTCGACTCACCGGGTCATCGAGTCTATTCATTAATCTGAGTCATCAGTCGCGATCCTACTCGATGAGTTTACACATCAACTCATCGATCCCCTCTTCCTAACTTAAAAATAAATACTTAAATTATGATACCTGGAAATCTGAATGTTACAACTCTCCCCCACTTAACTTGATTTCACCCTTGAAATCGCTCTTCATTCACACATAGCTCGAACCTACAATTCGGAAAGCACCACTGAAAAGGGCCTCATACCCTACTTATATCTTTTCTATGGACACCTGAATCCAAACATGAACTCCTCCCTGGAAAAGGACAGACCCATCAAGAAAATTGATACTTGAGAAATCGTGGCAGAAGATGATTATTGATTCCAGATTAAGCGATTATTTATTGTTGATGGGGTCCGATACTTCATCAGGGGAGGAGTAGTAGAACAGGGGAGGAGACGATCCATCAAGAAAATTGGGGGAAGAACGAGATGTAAAGAACATATATGAAAGAGTAAAAGTTTGAGCATCCCACATCGAAGCTGGAACATTCTATCAGGGAAAACATACTCTATATAAAGGGAATCCTCCTTACGAAAAAAAACACATTTATGCTTTTGGCAAGCCGGTTCCATAAGTTAGTGGGTCTTTTAAAGTATTTTGGATTGATTAGGTCCGAGTTGGGCCGGTTTTGACCGATATTGACCAATTCCGCCTAGCTTCACCCTCTAACCCCTATTCGTAGGTAGTTAGAGGCCGCCAAGCGTCTAGGCACCGATTAATCGGCTGCCTTGACCGATTTTTACAACCATGATATATATATATACACACACACACACACACACACACAGAGCTAGGTTCAAATATGGATTGACATCTACTATGTGGACGTGTGGATAATGCTATTCTGTGAGAATGACAAAGAAAATATGTTGTTTGATAATATGAATATGTTTAATCTTATATAATTATTGTAATGATTAAACATTTTCACTAATCAAATCGTATATAAGGTTATTATACATTTTTTTTTTAAGTATTCTCATTCTGTCAGAATGTTATTAGGATGTTTATTGAGATGTATTCTATAAGAATTCAAAAAAATAAAAAATGATGCATGAGAACAAAAATGAATTAGAATTTGTGATAATCCATTAAAATAACAATAGTTCTGTGAGATTGAACGTATAGTTCTCTTAGTAATTTTCATAAAATGACATTATCCACACGTGCACACAATAGTTGTCCATTCACATTATAACCTAGCCATATATATATATATATATATATATATATATATATATATATATATATATATATAGAGAGAGAGAGAGAGAGAGAGTTAGGATCATATATAACCTATAATTATTGTGTGAATGTATGACAAATTCTTAACCAATCATTTCCTATAATAAATTTCATTAACTAATTAATTACATACTAAAATTGTAAGCCTATTGTTATGGAAACTAAGTCTCTAATTATGGAAGTGAAATTATATCCTTATAATATGTTATATTTGTTTTGGTCGTTGCATTGATTTGTGTAACAGGGTGAAACCAAGTCACACTTAAATCTTCTATTCTTGAGAACAACATGCACAAATTGGATTAATAGCTTTTAAGGATCTGCAATTCGATAATCAAAAGGAATGGTTGCTATCCAAATTCTTTAAGAATGCATAATATGATAATCTAAGAATGCATAATACGAAATTATTTAAAAGATACATATTCATTCATAATGCTTATTAATTATTTTTCTAGTCATTATTAATTAGTTTTCTAGTCATTTCTAAGTTATTCAAAGAAAAAGAGAAATAAAAGTCGTTATTGAGTTTTTCCATTTTTTGTTGTGATATTCTTTCAAAATGGAGATCACAAAGAAATCTTATTCTTTGAGCATGTATTACTAATTTTATAGAATGAAACAACATATTATATTTTAACTTGTAATAATTTTTATATGATTCTCAATAGAATCTATCAATTGTGCAGTAAGAATATTCTTATCATTTATAATATATTCAGTCATAATCTTTAATAATGTTTAATTCATATAAAATCTCTTTATAGAACTTGAATTATTTAAGAATGTTTAATTTTAAAAGAATGCTGATACAATAATCAACAAAATTAACCAAAAGAATGAATGTGTTCTTAAAGAACATCCAATATGCAAGATTTATTATATCAAATTCTTTAAGAATGCCTTTTTTTTTTTCAAGAATGTTAATTTTATTATTAAAGAATGTTAGTTATGAACTTGTAATCCGTGCTTTATTCTTCAAGAATGAAAATGATAAAAATAAAAATCTGAAGAATGAAAATGATAAAAATAAATATTTAATTGTGTCCTCTAGAAAAAGTTCATAACAATCTCCAAGAAATCGGTTAGGAAAGTTAATTTTCAAAAGTATTAATTTGTATTCTTGAAGAATATATAAAAAATAATCAATAAATCAACCAAAAGAATCAATGCATTCTTCAAAAAAAAATTTCAATATTCTGAGTTTCTTATACAATATATTCTTAAAAAATTCATAAACAACAAACTAGAATCAAATTAAAAAAAAATGTAGACGGTACCAACAATGATATCGAAGGATATAGTAGTTAATTTAAAATGTAAAAATACTTAGTTTGATTTTTTGAAATCTAATTCAAATTGCATTCATTAATACACTCATTTTCCATAAATTATTAATTATTGTTATGACATTTGACTAATTTATTCTTATAATTAATTAAGTGTAATGATATGGTATATACTATCCCATATTAATATCATGTATCCTAAAGTCATAACCTTTCATCTTTTTTAATCAAGTGGATAAGAACGTTTCATACATTCACATAATAATTGTAGTTCACATATTAATATCATGTATCCTAAAGTCATAACCTTCGTTATTGTATTTTAATTTTGTTTATTATTGTTTGTGTATTCTTTAAGAATATGGTATAGTACAACATATATTATCGAAAATAATAGTTTGAATAAAAAAGTCTGTAACATGATTACTTAGTTATAATTGAAGAATTCTTTGAGAATTCAATAATTCTTGAAGAATACAAGGCCTAAAATTCTTTATGTTACAACTTTTTTGGATCAATATCCATTAACAGTGACCACAACTAATATTCTTTAAGAATAATATTAATATTCTTGGAAAAAAAATTAACTGCAAATGGTTTGAAGAATAATTTAACATGGTCTATACAATCAAAAACAGTAGTTAATAAATAACAAAAAAAATAATTAGTACTCTTGCATGCTTGTAACCGAAATCATGATTTAAGGAAAATATACGACTTGTTTTTTTGGTTAGTAAATAATTATATTTAAACTTCCAAAATTACCTTTTACTTATTTAATTAATCATTTATTGTTTTTCTAAATTCTCACTGGTTCACACATTCACACAATAATTAAGGTTTATATATGAACCTAACTCTTTCTCTCTCTTTATATATATATATATATATATATATATATATATATATATATATATATATATATATATATATATATATATATATATATATATATATATATATATATATATATATATATATATATATATATATATATATATATATATATCAGCAATCACATTAGCACATTCAAATTTTCTTTGTATATAGCAGCAGTCACATTAGCACATGAAGAAAAAAGTAGTCAGCTCGACAAATTAAAGAGGTTGACGGTAGGTGTATTATGTTTACAACAACACTTATATTAAACGCAAACTGGAATGTAGTTCTTGTTCTTGACCACAATGACATATAGGAAATAATTTATGATTAATTGTTTTACCCTAACATATCTTTGGGAAAATGACGTAAAATATATAGGTACGTAATTTGAAGATGCATGTGCATGCAGTCACTTATTTGACTAGCCAAAAAACAGTCGGATGCCATACGGAAGTAATCTAGGTCTGTTTTTGTTCCTTACCATTTTAGAGATGTACTCGTAGTAGCCGTATGTGGAGTAGATGAGATCTACCATCAAGGGTAATTGAAAAGTCGCAAAAGATAGAATCGGAAGGAACGCTAGTACACATATCGGAGCAAGCATCCATCGTTTACCATGACAAAAGACAAAGAACAGGGTCGCGCTGAAGGCCACCATCATGGCAGTTGTTGATATCATTAAGCTGCAGAGACCAAGAATCAATCGGTTTGGCAAACTGGTTTGAAAATCTTGCTCAGAAAAACGGCCAGTGAGGATGGACTGGAACACTAGTAATGATGTACTCGATGCAAATAGTGAGATTGCGTCTGCTACGGCGAAGACTGTGAAGGCAACATTTTCTGTAAACACAGGGATGCCTGTGTCTTGCTTGCTTCCACCTGGTACTGTAATTGCTGCTGCAAATACGATTGTTGCAATCAGTGCTGCAGTGATGCTGCATGATTCTGCTACGACTTTCATCCACTGTTCTCCTTCCTTCACCAAATGTTTGTGTTCCTTTGTGAATACCATATCCGGTGTCTCATTAAAAATGTTTTCTTTAGTAATGTATGCTGGAGATACCATATTCTTCACCACCTATATAGAATTATTTAACTGGTTAACTAAACAACAATATATAATTCCAGTCCTACAATTCATACCTCATGCCATTGAAGCTCTCTTTGTAGTTGTAGTGCTGCACCAGTTCTAAGCTTTAGTTTATGAGTGGGAGCTAATCTTCCAACCAAGTGTAACATATTGTTTTGTGAAGAGTCTTCGATAGTTCTATAAACATTCCTACGCTCCCCAAGGATATTGATAAGCTCGTAGATATTTTGTGAACGGTGCATTACTGCTAACTGTATGATGTCATACCCACTTTTATCTTTATACCGAATTGCTTCGGGGCATCTCATTAAAATCTCATCAACAACCTCATAAGCATCTTTACGTGCTGCTTCATGAACTGGTCTTTCGTAATATGGAGGATCATGAAGTTTATCATTGGTTTTTAACTTGTCCATTTCATCACATACCAATTTTAAAATTTCTTTTGCTTCTTGAGGTTCCCTGTGTTTCTTCTCGATATTTGCAATGTATTTAACTGTATATGCACGGAAAAAAGGTAAAAAAATATCAAATTTCTTGTATAAATTATATAAGTGGATTAACTTCATATATACGCTCTTACATTGTGTTTTTAAAATCGTCCACATAGAAAAATAAAACATAAAGAGCGGAAAATAAACCATCGTTATGAAGAGGAGAACTATCAAGCAATAGATCCAAGATAGCATATATAATGGAACTGCAAAAACACAAACTATTCTTATTGAAATAGGATATATATATATATATATATATATATATATATATATATATATATATATATATATATATATATATATATAGAGTAAAGTGAATATACCTAACAATCTTATATAAGCTTAAGTACCTAACCTCATCAAACTAGGTCATTTTGCATTAAATTTTCATTGCAATCATGCAAGGTTCTTATACTTTATCCATAAACTTGATTTACTTCAAAAAAAATTTGGAAATTCATCATTATATTTCTCCTACATCATTTCATTTGTAGCGGTAGGATATGAAACCTATCAGGCGGTATTCAATACAAATACGTGATGTGAAAGAAAAATATTGGTGAAAATCCAAAGATTTTGGAAGTAATGAAGTTATGGGGTTGAAGTTTAAGAACCTTAGGCAATTACAATGTAAATATGATACAAACCGATATAGTTTTATGGAGTTAGGTACCTAATCTTATATAAGGTTGTTAGGTATATTCACTTTTCCTATATATATATATATATATATATATATATATATATATATATATATATATATATATATATATATATATATATATATATATATATATATTCTCTACTAATAAAACAGTACTGAAAACGCCACTTGGCAGTCCCTTAGCCTCTCCACCTTACGTTTTCCCGCTCATATATTATAAGTGAAGTTCCCACTTTGCCCTTCTGTTCGAAAACATTTTCTACATCAGCAAACATGAATTATGAATAAGTAAATAATAAGTAAATAAGTAAATATGTAAATCAGGAAATTTAAAATTGATTTCTGTCGAATATGCAATATCCATCCCAAAAAATCAGCTAATCACTTTAAATTCCATTATCAGCTAATCAATTTAAATTCCATATAGTGTCAATCCCTAAAAATCAGGCAATCAGTTTACGCATAGATGATATATTTCAATACAACTTGAGAAGTCAATACGATTCCTGTTAACGTGATTTATTCAATACGATTTCAGAGATCACATATTCATCGTTAGGTTACATTTCAGAGGTGACATATTCATCATCAGGTCAGCAAAACTACACTGTTCTTTACCTTTTCTGTTTCATCAGTTTTATATTTTGTTTTTTTCCCTGTTATGTATAAGAGAAAAGTTTTTGATACATATGTTTACAAGTAAAAAAACATCGATTCTTTAGTGTAAAAGATAAAAATCGCATAATCATGTTCACAAGTACAAAAAACATTGATTCTTTAGTGTAAAAAAAGGGAAACACGTGTTATATTTTATAAAAAAAATGATCTTAATGTTATGTTAACATCATGTGAAAAGTAGATGTCAGTAGTTTTCTATTCAAGTTTTAAAATCATCAGTTTTCTCACAAATACTTTAATAATAATCAAAATCAGTTTTCTCACAAATACTTTAAGAATACAGACAGGTAGGTAATTAGAACAAATATATGTTTTCTTTATACATTATTAGTAAAATGGCAATTTACTTTCTTTTTGGCGAATTTTTTTATAATCTAAACAATAAATTTCTCAAGGTTTTAGTTTTTAAAATATATTTCTCAAATATTTTGTTTTAATTTATAACAACTAACTAAATATTTTTTTAGGATTCTTTTTCACAGACCGGTGAAAATTTAACTCCATGTGCTAGGGACAAGTCAACTGCAACAAGTCCTATAAAATTCATTTCTACACCAATTGAGTTGAAAAGAAACCTTGCTACATGCATAGATATTGATGAAATGGAGAATTTGTCTACTTTTAAAAATCCTAAACTGTCACCACCAGATGAACAACCAACTCCTCTTTTGGTACCCAAGAAAGAAAAGTAAATGCATTTTACTTCGACAAACAATCTTGCTTCGTGTTTAATTTTGATTTCGCATCATAGACTCCTAAGCCGTTTACGTTTTTATCTTTCTTGGTTTTGAATGTTTTTTTTGGGATTTCATGGTTGTCATTTTTGTTTCTTGAAAGTACATTCGGACCATTGGGTTTTTTTGTAGTCCTATAATTTGGTTTTCCATGTTATTTTGTTTTTCCTACAACTTATTTTAAACTACATTGCTTTATTCCCACAAAATCTTGAAGAATTACATTCATATGTGTAATTATGCAGTTACTTATATGTTTCATTTTACATATCAATTTATTTGACATACCATTTTATTTTACCTAAATGTACTTCTGTATTTACACTATCTCTGTAATTAACTAACTTATTTACCCCTAATCAACTTAAACACATAATAACACGTGAACTGCATTTGACTCCAATATTGAACAAATCACATTTCACAGTCCTTCTTGACTTCGCATTTTTCTTCACGAATCGTCCCTCAATCAATAACCCAATTAACCCAATTGCTAATCGAAAATCAAAACTTATCTGTTTTCATATGCGAACCCAACTGATTGGCTTTTCAAAATCAAATTCGCAACTCCAAATCGTTCGATTATTCGCCCCAATTCCAAAATCAAATAACAGATCCTTCGTATGATTCATTTAATAACCAAGGCTTCTTTTACTTCAAAATGACCATATTGCCCCTAACTTGATAAGTATTTCATATATCGCAATTAACAATTAAGACAAATCAATCAATCAATCAATTTGTATAAGAAAATGCGAAATTCTTAGCTTTCTTCCCCAATTCTCATTCTACTGTAAAATTCACATTCTTCATTCACCCTCTTTCTTCGCATGTTCCAGTCATTTTTTTTTTAGTTCATTCGCATTTGAGTTGTTTGTCTCACCAAATACGAAATGAATATTAACCATAATCACCTTCGTATCTTTAACCCCAGTCCATACAACCTCATATGCGAAACCCATTTTTGATTTGTATTACCAAATACGAACATTTTTGCTTTTACACGTGAACTGCATTTGACTACAATATTGAACAAATCACATTTCACAGTCCTTCTTGACTTCGCATTTTTCTTCACGAATCGTCCCTCAATCAATAAACCAACCAATTAACCCAATTGCTAATCCAAAATCAAAACTTATCTGTTTTATATGCGAACCCAACTGATTGGCTTTTCAAAATCAAATTCGCAACTCCAAATCGTTCGATTATTCTCCCCAATTCCAAAATCAAATAATAGATCCTTCGTATGATTCATTTAATAACCAAGGCTTCTTTTACTTCAAAATGACCATATTGTCCCTAACTTGATAAGTATTTCATATATCACAATTAACAATTAAGACAAATCAATCAATCAATCAATTTGTATAAGAAAAATGCGAAATTCTTAGCTTTCTTCCCCAATTCGCATTCTACTGTAAAATTCACATTCTTCATTCACCCTCTTTCTTCGCATGTTCCAGTCATTTTTTTTTAGTTCATTCGCATTTGAGTTGTTTGTCTCACCAAATACGAAATGAATATTAACCATAATCACCTTCGTATCTTTAACCCCAATCCATACAACCTCATATGCGAAACCCAATTTTGATTTGTATTACCAAATGCGAACATTTTTGCTTTTACACGTGAACTGCATTTGACTCCAATATTGAACAAATCACATTTCACAGTCCTTCTTGACTTCGCATTTTTCTTCACGAATCGTCCCTCAATCAATAACCCAATTAACCCAATTGCTAATCGAAAATCAAAACTTATCTGTTTTCATATGCGAACCCAACTGATTGGCTTTTCAAAATCAAATTCGCAACTCCAAATCGTTCGATTATTCGCCCCAATTCCAAAATCAAATAACAGATCCTTCGTATGATTCATTTAATAACCAAGGCTTCTTTTACTTCAAAATGACCATATTGCCCCTAACTTGATAAGTATTTCATATATCGCAATTAACAATTAAGACAAATCAATCAATCAATCAATTTGTATAAGAAAAATGCGAAATTCTTAGCTTTCTTCCCCAATTCGCATTCTACTGTAAAATTCACATTCTTCATTCACCCTCTTTCTTCGCATGTTCCAGTCATTTTTTTTTTTAGTTCATTCGCATTTGAGTTGTTTGTCTCACCAAATACGAAATGAATATTAACCATAATCACCTTCGTATCTTTAACCCCAATCCATACAACCTCATATGCGAAACCCATTTTTGATTTGTATTACCAAATGCGAACATTTTTGCTTTTACACGTGAACTGCATTTGACTACAATATTGAACAAATCACATTTCACAGTCCTTCTTGACTTCGCATTTTTCTTCACGAATCGTCCCTCAATCAATAAACCAACCAATTAACCCAATTGTTAATCCAAAATCAAAACTTATCTGTTTTATATGCGAACCCAACTGATTGGCTTTTCAAAATCAAATTCGCAACTCCAAATGGTTCGATTATTCGCCCCAATTCCAAAATCAAATAACAGATCCTTCGTATGATTCATTTAATAACTAAGGCTTCTTTTACTTCAAAATGACCATATTGCCCCTAACTTGATAAGTATTTCATATATCGCAATTAACAATTAAGACAAATCAATCAATCAATCAATTTGTATAAGAAAAATGCGAAGTAGACAAAACATTGTTAATGCTTCGTTAAGTTCTTCATATTTATGGCAACATTGCAAGATCCATAAATTAACAAAAAACATGAGACTAAGTGTTGGAAGGGATCAATCTGATATAGAAAAAATCGGAGATTTTGCAAATTGGTTGTTGGATATAGGAGAAGGCAAACTTGGTGGTATCAATGATGGAGAAACGGTTATTGATATTTCAGATGATATTCTCATTAATGATGCACATGATCCTATAGGTTCATTAATCGAGTTTGTATATCCTTCGATTTTGGAAAAGTACAACAATACAAGCTATTTTCAAGAAAGAGTAATACTTGCTCCAAAGAACGAAGTGGTTCAAGAAATAAACGATCGTTTGCTATTGAAATTTCCAGGAGATGAGGTTGAATACTTAAGTTCAGATAGTATATGCCAATCTGAATTTCTCCATGATCAATTTGATGCAAATTTATATTCACCTGATGTTTTAAATGGTCTGAAAGTATCGGGTTTACCAAACCATAAGTTAGTTTTAAAAATCGGTGTTCCAGTTATGTTGCTGAGAAATATTGATCAGAAAAACGGCTTGTGTAATGGAACAAGACTCCAGGTGATTTCATTGGGCAAACGTGTTATTGAGGCACGTATCATATCTGGAACTAATATTGGAAACCACACTTTTATTCCAAGAATGTCTCTAACTCCATCAGAAAAGAAAATTCCATTCAAATTTCGAAGAAGACAGTTTCCATTGGCTGTATGTTTTGCAATGACCATTAATAAGAGTCAGGGACAGTCATTATCCAAGGTTGGTTTGTTTCTCAAACATCCCGTGTTTTCACATGGCCAATTGTATGTTGCTTTATCTAGAGTCAAAAGTAGGGACGGATTAAAATTGTTAATTTTAGATAAGGATGGTAGTCTCACAAATAAAACTTCCAATGTCGTTTATAAGGAAGTTTTTGGGAATTTATAAACAATGCTTTTCTACCATCTTTTATTTACTTTTCTACTATCTTTTATTTACTTTTCTTGTATCGTACTTCATCTATCATATTAATTAATTAATTTTTACAACTTTATTGTATTTGACTTATTCATATTAATGCTAATATCACTATTCTTCATTTTTTCTAAACTTTCATATCTTTTTTTTGTTACAAATTAAAAACTATAATTATATTCCAATTTATCACCCGTGGATTTCCACGGGTTTAAACCTAGTGTATATATATATATATATATATATATATATATATATATATATATATATATATATATATATATATATATATATATATATATATATATATATTATATGTTCAAATATATGATTAATTCTCGAGTTCTATATAGTCGTTGGTTGTCAATTGATAACTCACCCTTTATAACGGTGAATTGTACCACTTTCAAAATACTCAAAATCTTGTTGCTAGGTACATCCTCTATGATTTTCATAATTGGGATTTTGTGGAATCTTACTAATTCATAAAACACTATCCTCGCTCTGTCGACCATCCATTCAAAAATATGATTCGGAACTGAAACAGAAAAAACATATCCAATCATACATGTAGCATGCATGCATGCATCCGATCTTTAATTAGAATGAATTAAAGCTGCTCCGGAAACATAATTAAAAACGAATAACAAAAAAAAACTATATATATATATATATATATATATATATATATATATATATATATATATATATATATATATATATATATATATATATATATATATATATATATATATATAAACATCGAAAACTTACTTGGATATATAAGTATTTGCCAATGGTCTAGCCCAGTCGGAAAGGTTTTAGCTATTGCCATCAGTACCTCATCGCCTTCCACAGCAAATTGAGGATACTTTTGAATTAACTCCTTTGCTAAATCTGCAGGCATGCATGTTGAAAATTGATCAGCAAGTCTTATCTATGTGAATGTGATATAGATTTTTTTTGGCTAGCTAGCGACACACCATACTGTTTTGCAGAAACAGCATTAGCAAGAAGTTTTGAGCCTTTTTTTACATCAATAGGGTGAGGGGTGTTGTCGGTTCTTCCAACTTCGTCGGCAGCTTTCAACAAGTATTCAACGGTATCCAGATGCATATTTTCAAAAGCTTTATGCAAAGGTGTTTCATGTTTTTTGTCTTCTGTTGCCAACAAAATTTTCTTTCTTTTAATCAAGAGCTTTGCTCCTGTGTTTCCGACAATTGCAGCAATGTGAAGGGCTGTGCTTCCATTTTTATTTCTCATTTCACGTAATTTTATATCTTTGATTTTCGATAACATCTCACTCACAAAAGAATTGTGACCTATCCCAACTACTATATGAAGTATGCTGTTGCCATCACTGTCGATTGCCTCAGTGATTACATCTTCGTCTTCATTTATCATTGATTCTACGTCATCCCATCTCCCTTCCACTATAGCACTAGACAACTTCTTGTTGCGTTTCGTCTTTTCTTCTTCTGTCATTTCGACTTTAGGTTTTCTTTCTATGAATAGCCCCCCTATTGCCGCCCTTACCTTCTTTTTATACCTTAATAAGCTTTTGATTTGTTCTTCCTTTTTCATCATCACAAATGGATCTTCTGGAACTGCGCTTTCATCTTGATTCGTTTCAGTCTTTGTTTCTGCTAAAAACATATCGATTCCTTCTTTTATTCATTGGATTTCAAACTTTATTTATATATGTCTTTTATTTCCGTTAATTCCCTTCTAGTTTCATTTGACGTGCCCTTTTTAAATCTCAATTACATGTCCACTATATATGTATATATGTAAACCATATATAATAACCTTTCTTAAACATTGATCCTTACTAAAGTTTATTCAAATTACGAATTTTAACTAATGATAAGAAATAAATAAAAGACAAAATTGCAAAAATGGTCCCTGTGGTATGTATTTTTTTGGGGTTTTCATCCAAACTCTGATTTTTTTGGATTAGTGGTCCTTTTGAGCTAGTTTCGTTGCGCTTTTAGTCCCTCTGAATAGTGAAATGACTGTAATACCATTGAGTATTTATTTTCCATTTTTCTTTCATTTCTTTTTAAATCTAATACTTATTTATTTATTTTGATAATTAAAAAAAACAAGGGGCCCTCTCTCTCTCTCTCTCTCTCTCTCTCTCTCTTTCTCTCTCTCTCTCTCTCTCTCTCTCTCAAATCCTTAATTCAGATTTCAGATCGTCAACTTTACCTTTAGCCCTAGACTTGAGAGTTCCAACCTAACGCTTCTTCTTCTAGTTCGTTCATCCAGAGTAAACGAATCAAACAAGAAATCGATATGTTTTACTAGTGGTTTGATAAGAAATTCGATGTGTTTTCGCACGATTTTTTGGTAGAAAAAATTTCATCAAATGATCCTCGACGCCGTCTTCAATCTTCTCCCATCGGACGCCTATGTCACTTAACTGGACTCTCTTCTAGGAGGTCGCGGTCACTGCACAAGCTTGTCGTCTTCCTGCCTCTTGCACTCTGGTGTCTTCCTTGAGAATTCCGATTTCGGCTTGGATCGTGAACTAGGTCCCGACGAAAACTTTCAGGAAACAAAATTGTTTCAGGTAGGTTAGTCTCAATCAAATCCTTTCTATTCTAACACTGTTAATGATGATAAGATGAAAGAGACTAATGTTTCTAGTTGTTCTTGGTCGTTGCGCGATGATCTCTACTTGGATACTGTTTATAACATCGCTTCTAAATTTCAAGATCAAGGTGAGACTGAGGTATACGAACGAGACACAAAAGCTTTTATTTTGTTGTTGTTTTGGTGTTTGCAAGAGGAGAAAGGGGTGTATGTGTGTGCTTGTTAAAGTGTTAACCCAGAAAACCGTTTTGAGCTCTCAATAAAGAGCTGAACCAGATACACACAATGCTGAAATCACAACCAAAATTATCAAGCAACACCTGAAACCCAGATCTTCATGTTATCTCTTGTCCCCTCGCCATTTAGTTATTTATGAGTGTGTTTGTAAGTTGTTTAGTTATTTCTGAGTGTATTTGAAAGCTGTATGACATATCAAAAATGGGTTTCACCCTGACTCCGATAATGTTTTTGAATAATTTTGGTATTGGTTTGTTGATTTGTTGTAACTGTTGAGGTTTTAAAATTTTAGTCTGTTTTTTGTGTGTATATTTCGAGTTGCAAGTATGTATGTAGGTTCCTGTAAAGTGTTGTGTGCGTGTGTTTTAATTTCCAGGAAGAAATTTGAGTCGAAAGGAGGAAGACGATAGGATGAGAGAGAGAGAGAGAGAGATGTGGGCCTGAATTAATTATTTATTTTCTTTTTCATTTAAATTAAATAGAAAAAACATAAAAAAATATATCAGAATGACATTATAGTCATTTTAATTTTACGAGGGACCAAAGTTACGTATAAACATTACCAAAAGGACCACGAAACCAAAAAATCAGGGTTTGGATTAAAACCCCCAAAAAATGCATAACGTAGGGACCATTTTTGCAGTTTTGTCTAAATAAAATAACATGCATGTACATATGAGCCTGAAATATGATTGCATGATAACTACATTGGAATATTTTGGTGTAACCTTAAATATGATGCATAAAACATGAATATAACGACCGAATTTGTGATTTTGATGAAATATCTGTGAACAAATCTATCATATATGTGGATTTTATATAAATGTTGATGTAGAACATGTGTGGCATTTAATAAAAATAATAGTACTTTATACATTTACGTAACACAATTAATATTTGTAGAAGGATAAGTACGAAAAAATACCGAAAGATATTTAATTTCTCTTATGACCAGGGTTTAGAGCTACAGCTGAAATTCCATTATCAAATTGACCGAGAGGTCAGCCTGGTGCTCAAGAAGTTTATATATATATATATATATATATATATATATATATATATATATATATATATATATATATATATATATATATATATATATATATATATATATATATATATATATATATATATATATATTAGAAAATTAACATGTTCCAGTAATTAGCTGTTTATCATCATGTTGGACATAATATTATTAATATGTGACTAATATTGTAGGAATTGAATGTCTAATGTCAAAAGACTGGAACAATGGAACTCCTGAGTTGGAAATTAATTAAGCTAAGGATCTAAAGTAAAGGTGGAAGGTTATTGTGGGACTTAATGTGAAAGCTTGTCAAAGATAAGTGAGCCGACTGTTAATTAGTCCAGGTTATTATAAACTCAGGTGCTGACCTTTTCTCATTATCAGATTGAAGTACAAGATATTTAGTGAGGATCTCCGAGAGTTTTTGTTCCATAATAAAAATCCTAATGTTCTCTAATCTTGACTCAGTCGTTGTGTTTATTATTCCAATGTTGTATTTTTGATCGGTTGTATGTGTATATTAATTTGTAGTATAGAGATCTTAAGAACTTTTTTTTTTCTGGTAAAAGTACAGATCTTGTTCGTAAATAAAAAAAAGAACTGTTCCTAGTTAAGGCTTTGTGTTTCTGAACAGCAAGTTATAGAAGCTTTATGTAATAGTGTGTTTATAAAAGATGCTGCAATTAAATGTGCACCAAACTGTTCATGATGTCGAACTTGTAATTTTAAAAGTTTACGCATATGTGAAACAGGCTATATATTAATGGTCAAATTAAGACATAAAACTGCACGTTCATGTATATTAAGCAGTGTTGACAGTTAAAATGTTGCAATACTAACTGAGTTTAGAATAAGCAGCTAGCGAATGAGCGTACCTTTTGTAGAATGCGTTATAGTTGGATCGTAGATGGATTTTAGTTTGTCCCAAACGTCTTTAGCTGATTCAAGATTAAAAACAGTGTTAAGGAGCTCTTCACTGATCGTACTGAAAATCCAACCCTTTACCAGACTGTTAGATCGCGTATTGAAGTCTGGGGTAACTGGATCACATACAATGCCATGGAGATTGTAACTCTTCAGGAGGCACCCCATCTGCTTCTCCCATAGATGGTAGTTTCGTTCACTGGAAAGCTTCACAGAAACGAAGTTAATTAGAAACATTCGCAATGAATGCATGCGAGTCTTGATTTTGTGGTGCTGACGATGAAGAAGAAAATGAAGAAGGGTTTGATGGGCTTGCCATTTGAATGGAGAAGAGGTGTGTGTGTGGCATGTTGATGAGCTTCTTCATGGTTTATATATATAGTGCATATAGGGCTAATTATTATATTCGATACTTGCATTAATTAGTCTCAGCTTTATCTTTTTTTCTTCCTTTCACTTTCTTTTTGCTAAACATATTCCTAGTACACATTAGAGTGGATTGCTAATTATGAATAAGATTTGTTTAATTTTTTTTTTCAACAGCAGAGCATATATTATGAAAAGAATAGATCTAATTGCAGAAACTTGGAGACGGAGTACAAAGTTTGCCCCCTTTCTAAACAACATCACTGATCACTCCATGTAATAATCCTGGAAACTAATCGCGTAATCAGCACCGATATAACTAATTAACACACCAAGATATATAGAACAACTAAAAGTATAAAAGTAGAGAGGGACGTGTAGTTTTTCACACCAAGATATATTTGATGTATTCCATACTTGCATTAGGTACTCTCTCCGCTTTATCTTTTTTTCACTCTATCACTCTTTCTTCTTGTTAATTAAGATATTCCTTGAGACTTGAGAGGGCATAATTTAGCTTCAGAAATATTGTCAATGAACGTGAAAAACGTTGAGTTCTACAGGTTACATCATTCAAAATATATTAAATGAACTATAAATAGTAACATACTAACACAAAAAAAAAGTACCCTTTAGCGAGTACAAAAATCATCGCAATCGATGCCACCTGTCGTCGCTTTTACCTCGTAGCTAATACTCCTTCTTCGTCGCAAATAGTGTCGTCTCTAATGCTCGTCGTCCCTAAATGGTCATTGTCGTCCTTATTGCCATCGTCTCTATTATCTTTCTGGGCAGCGGTCGGAGTTTTTCCGGCTACTCTTCTCGCAATCAGTTATCGTCGCAATTGGTCAATATCGTCCCTAATGGTGTCACTGCTATTGTTTATCTATTAGTTTTTTATGAAAAAAAAAACATTTATGATATTAGTTTATATATATTATAAAATGCAACTTTAATAAAAATACATACCACATTACATAAAATATCAAAATATACCATATTACATAAACTATCTAATAAATCCCAAATAAACATCTAATATATCATCCATATAAGTATCTAATAAATCCCAAATAACATCATCCATACCATA